ATCAGAAGGTGGCTGACCTTGCCCTAGAGGTTGTTGATGATCTGGAAGTTGTCTTGGAGGAACCAGGTGATCAACACCAGATGCTTCTCCTTATAGTCAGAGCAGCTACTGAAGAGCACGGAGCAGATGGTGTTGCACAAAGAGTGACTCAGCACTAAAGTGGAGTCAAAGGGTTGGCCTATGGGTGGGAGATAAAGAAGGTGGGACAGTGGTTGCCCCACCAGTCAGGAAGCCCAGTGTAGAACACAACAGAGTTTGTGCAACCACAAAACTGGTTCACACAACATAGGACTAATCTACAGAAATATACTTACTGGTTCACACAACATAGGACTAATCTACAGAAATATACTTGGCAGCACAGAACATGCACATGGCTATGCAAGATATAGCCTAACAAAAGCTCCTAAGTATGTCGTAGCTCAGCAGGCCCCCAGAGAACACCTAAGAACACATGGCAGCCAAACACACAGCAAACATGACAACTGTATTGTGGTACACAACAAAGCCCGATACTAAGAGTAATCACAGGGAAGCTCAGAACACTTCGCAAGACCCAGTGGCACAGTACAAAATACACAGCTGAATAATAACAGCATGCAGCTAGAATATTCTGGAACACAGTGCAAAACAAGATGATGAATGGCAATGCAATGACATCAAAATTTCAAGCAACAACAAAACATCATTTAACTAAAACCTGCAGTCACCTGATACATTTGTCTACCCACAAGTTATGAAGGCTCAAAGATCAAGGAATAGAGCTGTAAATCTCTTTATCTAATTTTCTTCTTTAAAGTGAGGCTGGGGGGGGGCGCCTGGGTGGCTCAGTTGGTTGGGCGACTGCCTTCGGCTCAGGTCATGATCCTGGAGTCCCGGAATCGAGTCCCGCATCGGGCTACCTGCTCGGCAGGGAGTCTGCTTCTCCCTCTCCCACTCCCCCCTCTTGTGCTCTCTCTCTCTCTCTCAAATAAATAAATAAAATCTTTAAAAAAAAAAATGAGGCTAGGGGTGCCTGGCTGGCTCAGTCGGAAGAACATGCGGCTACTGATCTCGGAGTCGTAAATTTGAGCCCCACATTGGATGTGGAATCTACTTTAAAAATAAAATAAAATAAAATGAGGTTAAAGTAGTATCTACCTCGGGGTGCCCGGGTGGCTCCGTCTTTAAGCATCTGTCTTAGGCTCAGGTCATGATCCCAGGGTCCTGGGATCGAGCCCCACATCGGGCTCCCTCCTCAGCGGGAAGCCTGCTTCTCCCTCTCCCGCTCCCCCCGGCTTGTGTTCCCTCGCTCACTGTCTCTCTCTCTCTCTGTCAAATAAATAAATCTTTTTTAAAAAGGTAGTATCGGGCACCTGGGTGGCTCAGTCGTTAAGCGTCTGCCTTCCGCTCAGGTCATGATCCCAGGGTCCTGGGATCGGGTCCCACATCGGGCTCCCTGCTCGGTGGGAAGCCTGCTTCTCCCTCTCCCACTCCCCCTGCTTGTGTTCCTGCTCTCGCTATCTCTCTCTCTCTGTCAAATAAATAAATAAAATATTTAAAATAAATAAATAAATAAATAAATAAGGTAGTGTCTACCTCATACATTACGGTAAGGATTCATTTTATAAATGTAAAACATTAAGGATAATTCATAATACACAGTAGTGCTATTTCCTAGTTGTAAATCTGGTTTTCCAAGTGTTTGCTCTAGGTTTATATTATGTATCTTAAACATATCACAGTCTACCTTCAAGTAATATGTACCACCTCACCCATGGTTTAAGAACCTCAGGATAGCATTGTGCAATTTTCTTTCTCCTGGTCTTTGTGCTATTGTCAAGAGTTGTGCATGTATTAGAAATCCTACCATGTATCATCATTATTTTTGCCTTTAACACCCAAATACTTTTTAAAGAGTTTTTAAAAAATAAGAAGAAGTCAGGGCATCTGGGTGGCTTAGTCCGTTGAGTGTCCAACTCTTGATCTCAGCTCAGGTCTTGATCTCAGGGTTGTGAGCTGGGAGATGTAGGATCAGGAGACCCAGGGGTTGTCCCTCTCTTCCTCATGGCCCCTGGGATCCTGTGTGATAGGCACTGTGAGTGAGAAATTGGCAGTCCTCAGAATAGTACATTGTGACTATTTTTTAGATAACAGACAAAATCCTGGAAACATTTACCCTTAGATCCAATCAGTCTTAGAACCATGAAACTTAGAATCATAGACTCCTCAATCCTGTAGAATGTAAGCTCCATGAAAGCAGGGATTTTGTCTATTTTTTGGACTGTGAATTTCCACACAAAGCATCAGTGGCAGAGGTGGGCAGAGATCCACATCTCTAAAACATACCCATTGTACCTTCACGCTGTCTCATCTCTTTTTTTTTTAAAGATTTTATTTATTTATTTGACAGAGAGAGACACAGCAAGAGAGGGAACACAAGCAGGGGGAGTGGGAGAGGGAGAAGCAGGCTTCCGCTGAGCAGGGAACGCCATGCGGGGCTCAATCCCAGGACCCCGGGATCACGACCTGAGCTGAAGGCAGACGCTTAACGACTGAGCCAGCCAGGCGCCCCACACTGTCATCTCCTATCTGAGACCAGAACTCCCCTCCTGAGTTCACGTACTCTCCCCCTGCTATCCTGACTGTCAGCTTGGAGAAACGGGGAGAAGAGCAGGTGCCCACATTCTCCTCCTTCATCCCTGGCTTCCCCACCACCTCCTTCAGGGATTTCAACAGATTCTCCACATGCACACCCAGGATATTTCTTACAAAGTGCTTGGCTGCAGGACTGATGAGCTATGGCCCAAGGGTACTGAGGAGGAAGCCTGAGAACCACACAGCAGTGACCAGGTCCTGTATGTTCTTGAATCACTACTGTCAGCTGCTCCCAGGTCTTATCAGGGCATCTTGCATCAAGCCCAAAGGAGATGATGGGGAGGAAGGTCTTCGGTGCCTCCTACTGAGTCATTGTTCCTGGCCATGCTGGGCATATTAGCTTGCTAGGGCTGTGAGAACGAAGTACAGCACCCGAGTGGCATAAACATCAGAAATCCATCGGCACCCCTCAAGCACTGTGTTGTTGGAGTCTGCCTGTTTTCTTCCTTCTTAGCTTCTCCTTTCCCCAAATTCTCCTGTTACTTATTTCTCTCTCCATCACATCCCATTCAGCTGCCACATCAAGGTAATTAGGCTGTGTTGTCTCCTCCATTTGCATCCATACATGTGGGAATCCCAACTCCACTCCCTCAAATAAATAAATAAATAATTTTTAAAAAGACACATGACTGTTCACAGTAACCTCAAGCTAATAGCACATTTTAGATCATCTGCAGCTAAGATTTTTGCCCCATAATCTGCCTATAGATTTGGCTCACTCCTAAAAAAAAAAAAATACTAGTTACTCTTTTAAAAAAACAATTTCAAATACAGTAAAACTTCCTTTTTACAGTGAGGTTTTACAAATGTATAGATTCTTATTACCACCACTGCAGACAGGATACTGAACAATTTCAAGAGCCCAAAGGATTATCTTATGCTATATTTTGTTTTCATATCCTTACCCTACCTCTACCTCCTGATAACCATGGATGTGTTCTCTGTATCAATATTTTTGCCTCTTTCCAGAATTTCATATAAATGGAATAATACTGTATATAACCTTTTGAGACTGGGTTCTTCCACCTAGCACAATGCCTTTGCAATTCATCCAAATTCTGTGTATCGACAGTTGTTAGTTTTATTGCTGAGTAATATTGTTGCATGAATGTGACACAGTGTGTTCATCCATTTAACTCTGAAAAACATTTGGGTTGTTTCTAGTTTGTGGAGATTATCAATAAAGTTTCCATAGGTATTCATGTACAGGTTTTGTGTGAACATGAATTTTCATTTCTTGAGAATAAATACCTGGAAATGGGACTTTGGGTCATCTGATTAAATTATATTTAGCTTTTAAGGAAACTGCCAAATCTTTCTCTCGAGTAACTGTACTATTTTGTATTTCCATCAGCAATATATAAGAATTCCAGTTGCTCCAAATCTTTGCCAATGCTAGGTATCACTAGTACTTTTTATTTTAGTCATTCTAATAGGTGTGTGGGTTATCTCATTAGGTTTTAATTTGCATTTCCCTAATGACTATGATGTTGAGCATTGATTCATGAGCTTGTTTGTCATTCACATATTTTTTTTAGTGAAGTGCATGTCCAAAAATTTAGCCCATTTTTAAATTGGGTTGTTTGTTTTCTTATGTTGAGGTTTGAAAGTTCTTTACATACTCCGTATATAAGTCCTTTGTTTTATATATGAGTGGTGCTTACCTGAATCTACAGGTGTGATAAAACTGCATTGAAACACACACACACACACACACACACACACACACGTAAAACTTGTAAAATCTGAACAAATTCTGTAGATTGTACCAACATCAATTTCCTGGCTTTTGATATTGTACTTACAGTTATGCAAAATGTTACCATAGGGGGGAACTGGAGGAAGAATACACAGAACTTCTTTGTACTTTTTATTTTTACAACTTCTTGTGAATCTATATCAAAATAAAAAGAAGAGGAAGTGTAGCCATGTTGACAAGAGATATTGAATCCATACTCTTCATAACAACTTAAAAGTTTTTTCCATTAATTTCTGCATTGATATTTGTTGTCTCCTTCCTTACACTATCTTTGAATTTTCTTTTTCTTTTTTTTAAGATTTTATTTATTTATTTGACACAGAGAGAGGGAGAGGGAGAAGCAGGCTCCCCGCCCAGCAGGAAACCCAAGGCAGGGCTCAATTCCACGACCCTGGGATCACGACCTGAGCTGAAGGCTTAATCAACTGAGCCACCCAAGCACTCCTATCTTTGATTTTCTATGTTGTTCTTTTTCTAACTTTTTCTTTAAAGATTTTATTTATTTATTTGACAGAGAGAGCGAGAGAGCACAAGCAGGGGGAGCAGGAGAAGGAGAGGGAGAAGCAGGCTTCCCACTAAGCAGGGAGCCTGATGTGGGGCTCAATCCCAGGACCCTGGGATCATGACCTGAGCCGAAGGCAGACGCTTAACCATCTGAACCACCCAGGAGGCCGTTTTCTAACTTTTAAAGATGGACACTTAATTTTTACATTAATTTTTAGATTTCCTTCCTCTCCAATATGAAAATGTAAGGCTACAAACTTATCTCTAAACAGAGCTTTTTCTGAATCCCAAGGGAACAAATCAGAAAGTGTGTTTCTTCACTCTTTACCCTTCTTTAAAACTGTTTTAGCTCTTCCTTTGCCTTCCTATAAATTTTCAAATAAATGTCTAAATCCATACCAAAAAAATCTTGCTGTCATTTCTATAATAATTGTGTTAAACCAATTTGGGGGAAGTTGGCATCTTTACTGTACTGATCTTCCAATCTATGAACATAGTATGTCTATTTATTTAAAAAATATTTTATTTCGGAGCGCCTGGGTGGCTCAGTCAGTTAAGCATCTACCTTCGGCTCAGGTCCTGATCCCAGGGTCCTGGGATCAAGTCCCACATAGGGCTCCCTGCTCAGTGGGGAGTCTGCTTCTTCCTCTCCCTCTGCCCCTTCCCCCTACTTGTGCTCATTCTTTCTCTCTCTCTCTCTCAAATAAATAAAATCTTTAAAAATATTTTTTATTTCTGGGGCACCTGGGTGGCTCAGTCGTTAAGCATCTGCCTTCAGCTTAGGTCATGATCCCAGGGTCCTGGGATCGAGCCCCCACATTGGGCTCCCTGCTAGGCAGGAAGCCTGCTTCTCCCTCTCTCACTTCCCCTGCTTGTGCTGCCTCTCTTGCTGTGTCTCTCTCTGTCAAATAAATAAATAAAATCTTTAAAAAATATATATATTTTTTATTTCTTTCATCAGTATTTTGTAATTTTTACCATACAGGCTCGGTACACGTGTTGTCAGATTTATACTTAAGTATTTTGTTTTTTTCAGTGACTAAAGTGTTATTGTGTTTTTAATTTTGGTTTTCTAAAATATATAGAAAAACAACAACAGAAAAAGACTTTTGTATGTTTAGTGACCTTACTAAACTCATTAATAATAAAGAGGATTTTTTTGTTCTTGCTGTAGATTCCTTGGGAATCAGTTAAGCTTTGACACCTGTAAAATGGACATGAACACCGTTCCCTGGCACATAGGTTTGTGAGCATTAAGTGATGTAAGTGACGCTTTTAGCACAGAACTGATGCATAATTTGATACAATAAATAATTAAGCGTTATTATTATTATTATTATTATTATTAACAGTAGAGTGTAAGGTTCTCCCTCTTACCCCACCTCTTAAGGATCTATCTGCAGCAAAGTCAACAGACAAAAGGCCTTTCCTTTCCTCTTCCTCTCCTATTCACCTTGTGCCTTCATTCCCCCTAAGTCACCTCCCCCCTACTAGCCCCGCCCTTCCCTTAACCCCACCCGATTCAGTAGCCCCACCCCTGATTCCTCCCTCCACCTTGTTCTTCCCCTTAGCCCTGCGCTCCCACAGCCCTTGGTCAGCGGCGCTGGAAGCTCATGGTGTAATTTCGTGGGATGGTAGCAAACCCCACGAGCTTGGGGGACACGTCGATATCTTGGGGCAGCTGCGGGGACTTGAAGCAGAAGTTCTGCAAGATGGTGGTGAGGAAGAGAAAGAGCTCCATTCTAGCCAGGCCTTCTCCAAAACAGTACCGCTTTCCTGAAGACACAGAACCGGAGGGCTGGAGGTGAGGCCTGCTCCCTTGCCCCTCTACCCACCCCCAGAAGCTTTCTCCCAGGGAGGAGGGGCTGGAATAGCGTGGCCTCAGAGACTTCCAGAGATGTCTCTAATCCTCTCTGAGCATCAGGTTCCCTTGTGCATGGGATGGGGATGAGCTAGCTGTAGCAATGGGAAATTTAGATGCCCCTTCCCTCCAAGTACACACTCAGATATGGCTGCTGGGCCCTCACCTCCAACTGAGGAATCTAAAGAATTTAAATGACTTTGGACAAGTGTCTGACTCACTAAGGACTTTGATTTTCCCCATCTCTGAAACAGGTGTGATCATCCTTATCCTTCTGCTTAAGCTCAAGTCGTTCTGGGGGTTGCAGCTGAGGGGTTCCAAGGTAGATCATGAGAGGGACTTCCAAGCTGGAGAAAGACACCAGGCTACACCTTAGAGAAGAGAGCTGGGATGAAGGAGCCCCTGTTGGTGGGAGTGGTGGCTTGGCAGCAGACAGTGGTCTCTTACCAATGGAGAAGGGCACAAAAGCATCACTCTTCTTAAACTGCCCATTCTCATCCAGGAAGTGCTGGGGGTGGAAGTCTCGGGGGTTGGAGAAGAACTTGGGGTCTCTCAGCACGGAGCCCAGCATAGGGAACACTTCAGTGCCCTGGTGAGGAGGAGAAGGGGTATTTGATAAGGTGGAGTGGGGGTAGAGTATGCTGAAAAGGCATGGAGCTTGGAGGGACGATTGGGATGCCCTAGGTGATGAGAAATGGGAGGTGTGGGAGGAGTGTGGGTCCTCTTAGGGAGGAGCTTTGGGAGACAGGAGATTCAGGTCTCTGAGACAGGAAGCTATGCAGACATGGGGTTTACGTCTCCTGAGAAGGGAAGTTTGAAGAACACAGGTTCTGTGTCTCTTAGGACAGAAGGTGTAGGGGATGTGCAGTTCATGTCTCCCAAGGCAGGAGGTTGAGAGGACATGGGGGTTCATGCTTCCAGAGGCAGGAAGTTTGAAAAACATTGGGTTTATGTCTCCTAGGCGGGATGTTTTGGGAGACACGAGCCTCGTGTCCTTGAGGGAGGAGGTCTAGAAATGAAGTTCATGTCTTTTGAGAGAAGACGTTTGGGGACATGGGGTTCATAATCCCTGCAGCAAGAGCTCTGGGGAGATACTGGATTCAAGAATCTCTGAGTGGGAAGGTTGAAGGGTCATGGTGGTTGGGGAAGTGTTTGATTGAGGTAGTGGGACAGAGGCTGGGAAGCTTCTAAGGGGAATGGGGTGCTGGGTCACAGGGAGCAGGTTGGAGGTCCCCTTAGGTGGGGCAGGAAAGTACCTTGGGGAGGAGGAACTCTCGAAACTTGGTGTCCTTGGTGACTCTGCGGGCCAGGCCCATGGGGATCATGTCTCCAAATCTTTGGATCTCATGGATCACCGCCTCTGTGTAGGGCATCTTGGCCCGGTCCTCAAACTTGGGCTGACGGTTCTTGCCAATCACCCGGTCAATCTCTTCATGGACCTTGGCTGTGGGAGGAGGGGAAAGTGTTTAGGTATCTAGGGGTCTCAGGGTGGAGATGATAGTCCAAATATGTACATCCATGTGTGATATGGACGTAGATCATTCAAAACAGACCTTGACCATAAGCATTGTTGGTGCAGTGTCCTATTCACCTGGTCTCAACACAGGAGCTGTGACTCAGCACAGGAGCTATTTACCCATCCGTTCAGATATTTCAGGATTTTAACAGCCAGTGAAACTCAGCTGGTGCTTATCAGCAGAATATCACCTAGCGTCTGGATAACAGGGTATGTCTGAGGTTCCAGACATCTGGGAAATGTGGGGACATTGCAGTGGGCTCAGAGGAAGTGTGAGGGTCTGTGGCCACCACTTCACTGCCCCGCCCCCACAGTCTTACCCTCCACCTCTGGGTGCTTCATGAGCAGCAGGAAGCCGTACCGCAGGGTTGTGCTGACCGTCTCAGTGCCCGCAAAGAAGAGGTTCAGTGTGGTCAGCACCAGGTTCTTCATGTAGAACTCCGTGTTGGGGTTGTTCTGCTCCTGAAGGGAGAGAGGCCTTCAGGCCAGGCCCACTCCCTTCAGGGCTCTCAGAGCCCTTCTGGGGTCTTTCCATTTGGACCCACCTCTCTTAGGTCCAGACCAGAGGTGGGAAGAGAGACCCTAGTTCTGCCAGGGTTTTGTTCAGGCTGCTGGCTCTGCCCAAAATGTCCTTCCCACACTCTTTACCTGGCTGCCTACCTGTCCTTTACTCATCAGCCCTGGTGTCACTTTTTTAAGGTAGGAATATTTAGGAGAGGGATACAGAGAGCGAGTGCATGGTATGGAAGTGTTGCTTTATGGTTCGCACACAGGTCCTGCCCATGGACAAGTGCTGGTGGATGGAGCAGCCACGGTTATTATTCTTGAGATTGTGAGGATGTTATGAGGGGGATGATTTGAAGGGGCCTCTGCTCGCCCCATCCCAGCCTGGTTTCCCTCTGCCTGGCTTTGCAGCTGTCCACCCTGGCTGCTGAGCTGTACCTCCTGCATGCGAATGAGGAAGGAGTCGATGAAGTTCCTCGGGGAGTTGGGGTCCAGGGTGCGTTGATTCTGCTCCACCTTCTTGGCTATGAAGTCCTCCAGACCCTGCAGCTCCTTAAATGCCTGTTGCTGTGGCCCTGGCAGGTGCTTCATCACTGAGTAAAACATCTCATAGAGCTGAGGATGGGGAGAGAAGAAAGGGAAGGATAGTTGTTCACTGGCAGGTCCTGCTGGGAGCAGGACCTTTCTCAGGGCAAGGAAGGCAGTGGGTTAAAGGCACCTCTGCAGGTGTTTAGGATTTATATGGGGCTGGATGGGAGGAGATAGCTGAGTTTCAGTGTGTGTGAAGTGTGTGAGTGTGAAGGCCTCCGTCCCAGAATGTAGGTGAGATGGGTTGGGACACATAGCCAGGTTTCAGGTATTGGGGTGAGGCTGGATTGCAGAACACATCTGGGTGTTCGGATATTCAGATGTGGTTGAATTGGGAGACTCATGTTCAGGTGTTGACCTATTTTTTCTGACTGATATGGTGGATCACCTGTTTAGATCTCTAGGTATGGAGTAGGCTCAGTTGGAGACAACTATCCAGATATTTCAGGGATATAGAATGGTGGCTTCTGATTAGGGGTTGAGGTGTGAAAGTGGGACAGGTATGCAAGTGTTGAGGTGGGGGAGATACCTGTTCATGTGTTTCAGATGTTCACAGGGGCTGATGGGGGGCACTTCTGTAAATGAGTCAGCTGGGTTGGGGGACACTATTTGGGTGTTTGGGGAAACATCTATCCAGGTATTTACATGTGTAGGGGTCTTCTTGGTTGGGTCACCTGTCCAGATGTTCAGGTGTTTCAGTGGGCTCTATAGGGGCACTTATCTAGGTGGTTTGGGACACGTGTGTAATTACCAAATGACTTTGGCAGGCTGGATTTTATAGCGCCAGGTGTTCAGATATTCAGGAGGTGGGCTGAGGTGGTCACTTGTTCAGGTGTTAAGGTATTAAGAGATGGACTATCGTAATAGGGACCAGTAGGTAAGCTGGGATGGGAACACATCCCCAGGTGGCATGGCTGGGCCAATAACATGTACCTTGCCTGCAGGCTCTGTTCATTGTTTGTTTGGTTTGGTTTTTGGTTTTTTGGTGGGGGGGAGCATCTGTTGAGATATCCAGGTGTCCTTGGAAAGTGGGTGTTCTGGTGTAACCTTTCCATTGTCACAAGAGTGGTTTTGATGGAACCTGGTCTGGAGGAGGATGGCAGTTCAGGGCACCTGTCTCCATGTGGGAAAGCAATTGGTGGGTTGTGGTAAGGGTGTTGTAGAGCCAGACTGGACGGGTTACCTGCCCCATAGAGGTAGCTGTGAACTGGAAGCTTCCCAGCATCATACGCAACAGTGACAGGAACTCTTTGTCCTCATAGTCAAAGCGGTCCCCAAAGACAATGGAGCTGATGACATTGGACACTGTTCGGCTCAGGAAGAAGGTGGGATCGATGAAGGCACCTGGGAAATGGGATGGGGTGGGGAAGACACAGGGATTTGGGGGAGCGTCAACTGGGCGGTCTGATGCCAGCCTGAGTATTGGAGGAGGGCACTGGAGTGAGGAGCCAAACTTCCAGCACAAGATCCCAGAGTCTGGAGCCCAGATGCCTTCCCCCAAGCCAGTCCCCTTCCCGGTGGAGAAAGTGCCCGTCCGTGTGGGTGGACCCTTCCTTCTTGCTCACTCCCAACCCGCCCCCCCCCCCCCCCGCCGCCACTCACCGCGTGTGCCCTGGAGGGCCTCGATGAGGAAGCCCGCCTCCTCCTGGATGCGCTCCTCAATGCCGCGCTTGCCCACTCCAAAGTCCCGCAGCGTGGTGATGGAGAAGCGCCGGAGCTGCTTGGCCCGCTCCCCGTTGCTGAATGCCAAGCCTGGGGAGGGAGCGTAGGGGTGTGGTGAGTCAGGGAGGGGTGGGGACAGAGGTGGGCAAAGGTGAGTGGATAGCAGGAGTGGGAGGATGGGTTGGGGGGTGAGGGAGACAGGGAGAAATACAACTCAGGGTCAGAGAAATACTGAAAGAGATCAAGACGGGGTTGGAAGAAAACAATCAGGAGACAGGCAAGTCAGATGCCCAGAGAAACCGAGATACGGAGACATGTAAGCAGAGAGAAAGAGGGAGGGGAGGGAGGAGGAGTCTGACCTCTGTGGAGAACTGGGAAGTGGCAATAAAAATCACAAGGATCCTAACGCTGAGCTGGAGAAAGAGGAAAATACGGAGAGACAACAGAGAGGATCTGGAGAGAGAAGATGTTTCCAGAGATAGAGCCATGGGGTATGAAGCAGAAACAAGGTGAGATTCTCACACAGAGGAGGAAAAGGCAGACAGAGGGAGGCAGAAGCACGGGGAAGCTCAGAAGCTGAGAAGGAGTAAGAGGCAAGGACACAGGGATGGAAGACCGGGCCTCCAAGGCAGAAATCCCAAAGAACTCCTCCCAGACCCAGAGAAAGAAGAGGCATCCATGAGAGAGAACAGAGAGGTGGGCCGAGAAGCAGGGGTTCAGACACCCTGAGTCAAGCTAGAGAAGACCAAGGAGAGGCCACAATAACCAGGGATAAGGACAGAGGGAAGCAGGGGTAGAACTCGGCCACAGCCTTGGGTGAGTGAGTCAGGAGAAGAGCAGTGGGGAAACTGAGGCCATCAAGTCTGCCTGACCACACGCCCCCACCCGGAGCTCCTCACCATAGCCTTTGAAGAGCCAGTTGAAGAGGGCCTGCTCGCCTCGGCCGCTGAACTCCTCAGCCTGGTCCACCAGAGCCTCCTTCACCGCCTCGTGTCCACACAGCACCACGATGCGCCGGGGCCCCAGGTGGACCGTGAAGACTGGGCCATATCGCTCGCTGATCTGATGCAGGTGAATGCTTAGAGGCTGCGGCCCGCACTGGGAACTGGGCCTGTGCCCAGCCCTCACCTACTGCATGCACTTCCCCAGGTTCTGATACTGAAGGGCCTGGACATCCCAAAATCTGCTCTTTCTTATGTAGGACCCTGCTGGCCAACCTGCAAATTTCCACTTTCTTAAGACTCTGGCCCAACCTTGCCCATCCCCTGCCACCAAGTCCCAGCTCATTTAGGCAGGCTCCCAGCCCCACCCCCATTCCACCCATCCCCTGTCCTGACACCTTCATGAGAGAGTTGTACATCTGCTGTGTATTCAGCTGCAGGTAGTTTCCAATGAAGGGCAATGGGGTGGGTCCCGGAGGAAGCTTCCCCGAGAGTTTCTTCTGCCTCCAGACAGACATCAAGACCATTGTGGTCAGGCAGGTGAGCAAAGCCACCAGAAGCAACCCTGAGGCCAGCATGGTGGCACTGGGAGAGACGGTCAGATGATGCTGACTGGGGTTGTTTGCCTTTATATGACCTGGGAGAGAAAGGCAGAGTTAGGTGCTGATTATATAATTGTACCATTTCAGTTTCCAGTTACACCACCCCCACCCTGGGCTCACTGCTGAGCTTGGCACACAGCCAATGAGGCAGGAGGAGGGAACCCCAGGAGGATTAACAAGGAGTAAGTCCCAAGACAGAGTGTGTTGCCCCTCAGGAGGGACCACCCCAGGGCTGTAGAATTGATTGAAGCAGTAGACAAATTCCAGAACTGAAGAGTTTAGACTACTTGTATGTGGAGCCTCTTGAGCTTTGGATTTTCGGTCTCAGAGTGAGAAGGGACCCTAACATTGTAGATTTTGAGGTCTCCAGAGAAAAGAATCCAGAGATCTGGGTGTTGGAATGGGGAGCGCCCAGATGGCTCAGTCAGTTAAGCTTCTGACTCTTGATTTTGGCTCAGTTCGTGATCTCAGTGTTGTGAGATAAGCCCAGCATCAGGCTCTGGGCTGGGCAGGGAGCCTTCTTAAGATTCTATCTCTCCCTCTCCTTCCTCTCCACCCTCCTCTCCTTCTGCCCCTCCCCCTTCCTCTGCCTTCTGTCCCCCCCTCCTTCCTGCCAGCACTACCTCACTCTCTCTCTAAAAAAAGAAAGAAGGAAAGAGAGGAAGAAAGGAAGGAAGGAAGGAAAGAGGAAGAAAAGAAAGAAAGAAAGAAAGAAAGAAAGAAAGAAAGAAAGAAAGAAAGAAAGAAAGAAAGAAAGAAAGAGAAAGAAAGAAAAAAGAGTTGAAATGGGACAGCATGTGTGGCTGTGGCTGTGGATTTGGGGTTTTTGATGAGGAGGAATGTATGTTTAAAGGTCTCAGGGGGCACCTGGGTGGCTCAGTCATTAGCGCCTGCCTTAGGCTCAGGTCATGGTCCCAGGATCCTGGGATCGAGCCCCACATCGGGCTCCCTGCTCAGCGGGAAGCCTGCTTCTCCCTCTCCCCCTCCCCCTGCTTGTGTTCCCTCTCTAGCTGTCTCTCTCTGTCAAATAAATAAAATCTTTAAAAATAAATAAATAAATAAAATAAAGGTCTCAGGAGGGGAGCAGATTGTTGGGTGGCTCAGTCAGTGAAGCATTGGACTCTTGGTCTTGGCACAGGTCTTAATCTCATGGTCATGAATTCAAACCCAGTGTAGGGCTCCAGGCTGGGTGTGGAGCCTACTTTAAAAATAAAAAAGGTCTCCCTGGCTCTCTCCTCACTCAGGAGTTTTCCCAATCCTCTCCCGCCATCACTCCCTCTCTTTGCTGCCAGCAGCCCTGCCAAACCCAGAATCACCCCAGAGGGACCTCCCACACCCTCACACTCCACCTCCTCTTCTCAAGTGCCCCCTTCCCACTGGCGGGGAAACCCAGCCCCGGGAAGGGGGAGTAAGCATGCAGACCAGGAGACACAGGAGCCCCTGCCCACCCTCTGCTGTCTGTCCTCAGTATTCTCACACACCAAATGGGGAACATTAGTAGCACGACTACTAACAGCAACAATGGAAATGATGAACCTAGTGAGCTCCCCCAGGGATCTGGGTAGGACCAGTGAGGCTTTCTGTAAATTATGCCCCTTTGCCACGGAGACCACAAGTTACTCTTCTTTCCTGAGAAAGGTTCCACTTAAACGTGGCTCTGGACTTCTACCCCTTTTCCAAACACAGACAGGCAATGACACTGATCCTGACCTTGCTCTGAGGTCCCAATGGGGATTCTGGGCACCAGAGGAGGTACTGTGTCCAAAGCAAAGGTCGGTCAAAGCCTGGGGGAGGTACCGACTCTTTGATCCTGCTGGACTCCCATATACTTCTTCTGGGAAACCCCCATCACAGCCAGGGGTCCTCCCTCACCCCAAGACCCTCAGATCCACTCCCTGGGATCTCCCCTCTCGATGGCGGGAGAGGTTTGGGAAAACTCCTGAGTGGGGAGAGAGCCAGGCCCTGGAGGCTGGAAGTGGGAGTGAGGGAAGATGGTAGCCTTGCTGTCCTTCCCTCAGCGACCTTCTTCCTTAACAATAGGGCGCTAGCCTTTGGCGAGCACTCATTGTGCAGAGCCAGTGTGTGGACATGTGGTCTCATGGAATCCTTCTAGCAGGGGTCCCATTCATAGCATCCTCCTTTTGCTGTTCAGAAGAGCAGGCCTTCCCTACTGCCACTTGCTCGAGGCACCCGGATAGCAGGTAGGGAGCTGGGATTTGAAGCGTGTCTTCTCCTTCCTCCACTGACTGGCCTAGCCCACCCTGAGGGCCAAGTGGAGACCAAGTTTAGCAAGGGGTGGTGTGGGATTGGCATCGGCGCTGGACACAGAGATACACTAGCAACTTTTGCTGTTGGCATCAGCTCGCCCCCGCTAGACATGGGAATTGAAAGCAAGTTGACCCTGAACTTGATGCCAGGAGAACACTCACAGAGCCACCTCTGGCGCCAGGAGGGTCTGAGAGTAGGCCCCGGTGGCCACTGGGGCTGGCTTCTGGGGGTCATCAGGGTGGCACCATGTAGCTCTGAGGTGGCCCCAGCCGGCTGTGACATGAGCACCATGTGGGTGCTGGGTTGGTCTTCCGTGGGCCTGACAGGGGCCCCCATGGGCACGAGGCAGCATCTGAAGGTTAGAAACCTCCCTCCGCCCACTCAGGCCAGCTCCAACTTTGGACGAGTGCAGGTGGGTGAGGTTGGCGCTCTCAGGACTGGCATGTGGCTCAAAGTGTTCTAGACCTCTAAGCTGGAATCCTGTGGGGAGGGAACCAAGAGCAGAGAACAAAGCAGAGAGGAAAGTTGTTTGTTGGTTTTAAAGGGAGCAGAGGAGGGAAGGATTAGCACAGGTTTGGCAGGTATCAGTCCCCCTAATCCCAAACACCAGCCTGCACCTGGGCTGGCTACAAGCCTGCGGTGCCCCCCACCCCCGCCTTCCCCTTGCTGTTCCTTGGCAAGGAGGGAGGTAGAATTTCAAGAGTTTGTTTGTCAGTGAAGTTGGCACCAGCCAGGGCACTGAGTGTTCAGACAGGCTGCCATGAGCTGGGGAGGAGTAGGGCATATGGCCGACAGAAGTACTTAGCACAGAGAGGTCAAGTGCGCTTGGCCGTGTTGGTAACCTGGCAACATGGAGTGAGGCTAGCATCTGTCATCATATGACTTCTCCCTCGGGGGCAGGAGTATGGCAGGTCAGCGTGCAAGGGCCTGGGTATCAGCTTCCAGGATGAGTTAGGGGAGCGCCCAGGAAACTCTTTCCCTCCCTGGTACTCAGTTTCCCTTTCTGGACAATGGTACAGCAGTTAAGAGCACAGTTAAGGCATGGATTGGAATACCTTATTGCTTCTTTGTTGTGGGACTTTAAACAGGTCACCTCACCTCTCTGAGCCTCCTGGGGCCAATAACAGGATGTACCTCTTAGTTTATTATGGGAGGAGTCATTGATTTATTGGTTTGAAGTACCTGGCAGTAAGTGCCAGCAAGTACTAGCTGTTCCTATTAATCTGCAGGATGAAGGCGGGAATAAGGGATTCTCTAAACCCCCTTCCAGATTTTATATTCTCTGGTCTAAAGTTCCGAATACCTTTTCTTTGGTAAGGGAGGAAGGGAGAGAAAGCCTTGCGGGAACCTGCCTGCCCTTCCTTCTTTGACCCAGCTGAGCCTTCCCCCAGGAGCTGCGAATGGAACATTGACCTTGGAGGCGGCCTTGACAGTGGAGTAGGCATTGTGTGAGGAGGGTGGGTCGGGGGTTGTTTGGGGGTGGGGAGGCATGGCCCCCACACAGCACCTTGCCCATCATCTGCGTCTCCCCTTGTGTCTGTCTTGTTCTTTGTCTTCCCTGCAAGTCAGCCTGCCCTTCAACCCTCTTGTGTGCTTCTGGGTCTTTCTGTTCGTGCCAGTGTGTGCAGTGGGTTCTCCTAGAAGCCTCTGTTGTGTATCTTCTTACTTATACATCGTATATTGTGTCATTCTGGGCATGTGTGTGAAATCTTTGCACATCTGAGTGCATGTCTGTATCAGCATGTCCATGTTGATATATGTATTTATGAACACACCTGTCTATGGAGTGTGTGTGTGTGCATAAGTGGGTATCCATAGCTGTTTGGGTCCAGACATGTACCCAAGCTGTTTGAGTCAGACCTGCTGGACCTTATGTGACTGGGTGGGGAGTGTGGATTCTGTCCTAAGATGATGGGGAGCCCCAGAAGGGTCTTAGGCAGGGGAACAAAATGGCCAAATTTGTGTTTCAGACAGATGGTTCATATCTTTGGAGAAGATGAGACTAGAGGTCCGGAGACACGGAAATGGCTTCTATAGGCTCCAGGGGACAGAGGACAGGGCCATGAGCACGGGGAGGAGGCATGGGTTGGAGAAAGATACAGAGGGAAGAACCAATTCTTACTTGGTTATGTGTGGCTGTGTGGGGTAAGGTGAGGGAGGAGCCCAGTGTGGGGGTACATGGTAGTGTCGTTTATTAGTTTGGGGACACAGATCAGGAGCAGGTTTGAGGAAGGAGATGATGAGTTCCACCTTGGACATGTTGGGAACCGGGCACTATCCATGCTTCTAGGGATTTCTTAGACTAGTGGGAGAGCAGACCCAGATAAACTGAAGTCCTCATGATTCCATTAGCATTCATTAATAATTATGTGTAATAATTTAGTACTTGGGGCTGAGGATTGGGAGGGCTTCCTAGAGACAGTGTCGTTTGAACTGGGTCTTGCCGGATGAGTTCACAGGTGGGGGAGGAGAGGAGGGCCGGGCAGAGAGAGCCTCACAGGCCAGGTTTGCACACATGAGATGGTGGGACACAACGGACTTATGTGACTGCTACACCCCCTTCTCCCTCTGCAACCTCATCAATCAACTTGTTGTCCTCTACCTCCCAGCCTGACCCAAAACTCTCCAAAAAACCTGGCTCATGCCCACAAGTGTGGCTGAAATCTATGACCCTCTCCCAAATGAACATGTTTTTGTTTTTAATTGAAGGGATACCTGGCTGGCTCAGTCAGTAGAGCATGCAACTCTTGATCT